AGGGGGCTGCTCACTGCTCATTGCTCATTGCTCATCGCACACTGCTCAACGCTCATTGCCCTATATCCCACCCAGCCGCAGGACTCTACTGCCGCCCGCGCCCCGCCCCATCTGGCCGCTTGCGCGCCCCATCCCCCCTCGATGGGGCCCGCCCACATCGGGGCCTCCCCCCTCCCGCCCACTGCTTTCTCAACGGCCTCGAGCCGGGGCTGCCCTCATTGCATACATAGTGCGCCTTTCCCTGCTTTTCTAGTGACCTAGCGTTCCGCACTGCCGTTTGGCCAGCCCATGCTCCCGTACCGTTGCGTTTCTCCCCAATGCGCCATGCCACTTTGCCAGTCATACACACGTTTCGATGCGTGCCCTGTCAGCTGCTTGCGTTGCATGTCGCCTTGCTCCACCCCTGTTTTATTGCTTTCTCTGCTTTCGCCCGGTTCCCGTCCCGTTTCGGCGGGGAGTCTATGTTGCAAGCTAGTTCTTGCTTTACCAGACTTTAAGCCCACACAAGCAACAAGCAAAGGGCCTGCACCGCCCGCAGCGCCCAGCCACCCAGGCCGGCGCTCTCCAGCTTCTGCCACAGCAGATGCCGCGGGACCCTATCAAAGGCCTGCTTGAAGTCCACATAGCAGGCATACAACGGCTGCCCACGCGCCCGCTGCCGCTCAATGATGGCTCGCAGTGCAAGCTGCTGGTCACGGCAACCGTACCCTGGCCGGAACCCCGCCTAGCCAGATGCCCGAATGCCCGCCGCCTCAGTGTGGGTTGTAAACCTGCTCTGAAGCATGCTGGCAAACAGCTTGGCCGGCAGTGTGCCCACGGCAATGCCGCGGTAGCCGTCACAGCGCAGGTGGTCCGCACCAGGCTTGCGGATCGGTGTCAGCGCACTGATCGCCCACTGGGCCGGCAACGCCCCAATCCGTACACAGGCGTTAAGCAGCGCGACGAGCGAAGGGCCTAGCTGCTTGATAGCACCCTTCAGCATCTCAGGCTTCAGGGCACCCAAGCTGGCTTTGCTGTTCTTCGCTCGCTGCGCCATCTCCGTCAATTCTGGGAGAGTGAATGGCTCATGCAGTTGTTGATGTGCCGGTGTCAACTGTGAGGCATGAGCACGGCCTGCCACGGCGCCCGCCGCCTGCGCCGCGCCCGCGGCGGCGGCAGGGGCGGGCCTGCCCGCGGCAGCCACGTGTGTGTAGCCCAATAGTGACCGGAAGTGGCCGTTCCAATCACCGGCCGTGATGGAGGGGTCCGCGCCCTCCCCCTTGCCCTTGAGCAGCCTGTGGAAGGCAGCCTCCGCATACCTGAGGAGGTATGCGGAGGCTAAGCTCATCATCACCACGCGCCTCCACTGCGGCGTGCCGGCGGCGGGGATGGGCGTCCCAGTCATCCTGGTGAGTGAGGGGGGTGCGCAGCGGCCTGGCCCTGGGACTGATGGCTGGGGGGTGGGGCGAGGCGGGGAGGGGAGGTGCGAGGCGTGGGCTGGTGTGGGATGGCAGTGCAGGGCCCCCGAGCCAGCAGGCAACAGCATGCAAGCAACAGCCCAGAGGCCCCCGCCCAGGGCTGGCGCCTCACCCGGCGTCATTGTCACCATGCCGCCCCGCGCTGCCCCGCCAGGTGAAGCACAAGGATGGTGTGACGGGGCGCTTCGACGGCTTCCACCACCTGTTCCACACCATTGACATCTGGAAGCAGCGTGACAAAGCAAAGGCCTTCCTGCAGGCGTTCGACTACGGCGCGCCACCACCCATCCCCGCGCGCACGGGACCCGCCCCGGAGTGGAGGGCGCTGCGTTGCGCGCTGCTGGGCCACGTCACGGCGCACCACCCCACGCTGCTGGACGCCATCTACGCCCAGTCGCTCACCCCCGCCTTTGAGCGCTGCGAGGCGTTCCGCGAGTACCAGCTCAGCGGCAAGGGCTTGCTGACGTGAATTGAGGCGGCAGGGCAATGCATTGCAATTGCGACTTGTGCGTGCGGAGACTGCAGCCAGCGTTGTGCAAGCTGCCTGGTACCTCCTGGTAAACAATTACGCCTGTTTTGTACGCAATAAACGACAACATGCCCCTGTTGTGGTACATTCCTGCTGATTTGATACCTGTGAATTACCTGCGCACTTACCACTGCCGGTGCCCGCCAGGCACGGAAGCAGGGGGAAGGTGGTTTGGCGGGAGGACAAGATGAGACTTGCAGGCTCAGCAGGGGCAGAAAACGCCTCAAGGGACACAGCAGGTCCCACGGATTAATTCTGGCAGGACCGCCGCCACAGAGCATCCTGTTGCAGCAAGCACTGCAGTACAGAGTGCAACTCGCAGATGGCACCCAACCCCTTGCACAGCAGTCCTGGGCCGCCCAGCTGGCAGCCGGCCTCGCAGCGGTTGGCATGCAGCTGGACCTGCAGCAACCAGCGCCTGTTGACTCTCCGAGCTGGGGGAAGCTGCGCAGCGCAGCCAGCTGACGCAACTCCAGGAGGCGCTGAATAAGGGCGGCGCCAGCCGGCTGGAGCACTATGTGCACAACGTGGTGGGCACTCTCAACCTGGCGCCCGCCATATTTGGGCAGCGCGAGACCTACCTGGATGCAGTACAGCGTCGGCAGGACCACGAGGCTCTGACACAGCTACGCACCGTGTCGCATTGGGGCGCGGAAGAGACCGGCCGCTGGACGCGGCGCCCCCGAGAGCAGCGAGTCTGCCTCCACTGCCACAACCGCATTGAAGATGCCCTCCACAGGCTTAACTTCCCGGTTTTAACGTCTAGCTTTAGACCATTATTTGATCTGCCCGACGCGCCAAGTGCAGTACCCCCCACTAGTAGTGAATGGGTCCCGGGGAGGCCTGTGCCGAAGCCTTGGCGATTCTAATAGGCGTTCCCGAAGGAATTGGCTTGGATTGGCGCTGAGCCGGTCAGCTATGCCGCGTGCTGCTCACCTGCCAGGCAGGCTCACCTGCCAGGCAGTGCCCGCTGGCGCGACTGGCAGCATCACGTGCACCAACGCCATCACGGGCCAGTTGGGCGTGCGTGCCCAGTACGTCTCCCTGCACATAGTCGCCGCCACCGCCAAGGTGCTGGGCCCCTGCGAGGTGTCTGTGTACAGCCTCGGCACGGTCCCGGCCTGAGCACTGCAGCCACTGAGCAGCGCCAGCAGGCACCAGCCAACAGCGGCGTGCTCTATGCGACGCGACCACCCCCTGGCTCCTCTTGTGGCCCAGCACCCATTAGCAGTTGTGGAGACACCTCCTCTGCCGACTCCCTTCCCTCCCCTGATAATTGATCATTTGCCCCTGCCCACCCTTCACCTGTGGGGCCCCCTCCCACAAATACATAGGACACCTCCCCTGAACAAACGTTGACATACAATTCCATTCTCGGAGTCCAGTGATCAGTCATCACCTGCGTCGGCGGCACGGTCGACTGTACTGCACCCGCTGCAGTACACCCTCGCCTGCAGCTCAGACGGCCACAGATCGATGCGACCTCATTTCTGGACAGTGCAAATCACCTTACACTCGATCCCACGCGCCTAGCGAGTCTAACTACTGCAATTATACTCCTGAGTTGGTTCTACTGGCTACTTGGCGGGCTGTGCACGACTGTCTGCTGTCATAGACTAGCTCCGCCCGCGCCCACCCCAAAGAGCCTTCCTGTGTTCGCCATGTTGCCCGCCATCTGAGGCCCAGCGCTCGCAAACGAGCCCGCGAACTGGAAGGCACCGTGAGCAGCGCGGTAGGGCGCCCCCAGCGGCATGGGCATTGAGAACGGCGGCAGCGGCGGCGGGCCGCCGCTCGCCCGCCGTCCTTTCAAGCTGGCCACCGCCGCCCCGCCCACCATGCTGCTGCGCAACCTGGCGATCGCTGCCTCCGTGGCGCTGCTGGTTGCCACGCTGGTGGTGGTGATCCCCAGCACAGGCATGTCTGGGGTGGTGGGCTCTGCCTCCCACTACCTCACCACAGCCTCCCTCTACGTCTCATCCGCCTCGGCGCAGCTCAACAGCCTGGCCGCCGGCGCAGCCACCAACGGCAGCAGCGCCGAGGGCGGCGCAACGCCGGGGGCCGACGGTGGCAGCAGTAGCGGCGACGCCGGGGCGGATGCCGAGGGTGGCGGGGGCGAGACGCCTGACGAGGCCGCCGAGGGAGATGGCGGCGATGGCGGCGGCGTCGACGGCGAGGGCGTCGACCCCGACCTGCCGTGCCGGGAGAGCGGCTACTGCAGCGTGGGCAAGTTGCAGGCGTATGTGGGGGAGGTGGACAGCACAGAGGGCTTCAAGGCCATGGTGAGATGGAGGGGAGCGGTGGTTGCTGGTGGTGGTGGAGAGGCAGGCGAGGCGGGGCCTTGGCCTAATGCAGTTCCGTTGGAGGGCTCGAGGGTACTGCATGCCTGCATGCCTCTGGCCTGCTGCCTGTTCGCCCCGCTATGCACAGAAGCTGCGCAGCTGAGGTGCCATCTGCTCCAAGCAGGGGTGCCATGTTTGCATGCCTGATGCCCTGCCTGCTGCCGCTGCTGCCGTGCATCCCTGCTGTGCAGCTCAAGGCCAGCTGCTACAAGAAGGAATGCATCATGCTGACCATCGGCACAGGCGGCCACACCCTTGGCATGAATTTCAGTGAGCGGCGCTGTGGGCCTACGCGCTGCTGTTGGGCTGCCTGGCCGGTGCCGCCTGTGGTACCTGCTGGTGCCTGCCTTGGCTGGAGCCCTGAGCGCGCCATCGCACTGGCTGCACCCTGCTGGCGGGGCAGCTGCGCTCGCTGCTCCATTCCCGTCAGGCCCATGTTGGCGCTGCTGCCGCCGTCACCACTCGCCCTCGCCACGTGCCTCGCCGCGCCCGCCACAACCCCGTCCTTCCTGCAGTTGCGGGGGCCTGGAAGCTGGGCCTTGCCAACGTCATGCTGCACGCCCGGGGCAACGAGTCGTGCGCCGTGCTGACGGCTGCGGGGTACAACAACGTCACCTGTGTGTGGTCTGACAGGTGAGGGCCTGCCCAGTTCCGAGAGCTGGCGGGCGGGGAGGCGGGGGAGGCTCTGTTGCTGCCTTGGAGAGCTGCAGCCTGTGCAAGGAGGGTGTGTTTGACTCTTCCTCGCCCTTCTCCCATTCTATGCCGGCGCCCTGCTGTGGGCACCCCCCGCCACCCCGCCGCCGTTCCCCTGATCGACTCCCTGGCATGTGCCGTCTCCACAGCCGCCCCTGCAACCCACCACTTGTGTGCGCAGGGACTGGTTCCCTGTGAAGAACGGCAAGTGGCACATCTTCGAAGCAGGTGGGGCTGCCCTCTCTGGTTGAGCCATGTGCCGCCCCCCTGGCGCCGCCCCTGTAATGGCTGTGTACCGCACCACGGCTTTGCGACACCTGCCCGCTGCGGTGCAGCACACAGCCCGCCTGTGTGCTGTCGCTGCGGCGGCTCTTATCCCATACACACATACATTTGCCTCACCCACTAACCTTCCGTCCTGCTTTGGTGCAGAGGAGCTGTGGGCGGTGCGCTACATCCTCATGGCCCGGGCCGTCTGGCACGGCTACAACGTGTGGTGAGTGGGCTGGCCGCCTGCCTGCACCCAGGGCTCCTCTCCTCTCCGTTCCTTGCACGCGATTGGTGGGGTGCGGACGGCCAGTTTGCCTTGGCATGGTGTGCATTGTGCAGCATGCCGGCTGCCTGCCTGCTGCCGGCTGTGCAGGGGCTGCAGCAGCTCAGCGCTGGCACAAGAAAGATGTGTCCGACATCGCTGTGCTGTCATCCTATTCCCTGCACTGGTCCTCCCCAACCTGCAGGCTGCTGGATACCGACACGTACCTGTACCGAGATCCGTACAAGTATCTCACGGTGCCACCGTTCAAGGACATCCCCTGGATGTCGCTGCAAGACGGCGGCAACATCGTCAACGGTGGGGCCCCGCTCCCTTCCTTCTCTGGGGCCATGCTGCGTCTCCCACGTGTTCACCCCAGCGTGCGCTCCTGCCTGTGCCCTGCTGCTGCGCAGGCGGCTCCTCCTACATCCACAATGCTGCTCCAGGGGGCCCCGCCGCCTGGACCATCGCCCGCATGTGTGAGCACATGATCCGCCTGAACGAGCAGGTGGGGGTGGTGGCTGTGTGTGGCTGTGTGTGGCTGCGTGGTGGGCGGTATGGCGGCAGAGCGTGGCGGTTGGCCTGGTGCCAGGCGGGGTGTGGTGTCAGGCTTTGTGTGCCTGTGTGCGGTGGCTGGCGCGCTGCGGCGAGTCGTGTTGCGTGGCGGCGTGGCTACGGCGCGTGCCGGGCACGGGGCGGCGGTGGGATGGCTGCGGGCATGCCGTGCGCCGGGCCCCGCCGCCGGCGAGCCTCAACCCCCGTCCCCAGCACGCCTCACACACCAAGCTACGCACCTGCATTGCAGTGGGAGGTTTATGCCAAGGCAGTCAACCTCACAGACTTGGGCCACCTGGGGCACAGCATGATGGACCAGGCAAGGCACAGAGGGCTGAGGGGCTGGGCTGGGTTTTAGTGGGAGGGTGGGCGGGCAGTTGGGTGGGTAGCGTCTGTGTGTGGGCGCTGCTGGTAGCAGCGGGACGCTGCCATTTCTTGTTGTTGGGCCGCCTGCTGCACTGCTTGGGGCTCCACGCAATCCATAGGAGGGCTGCCTGCCGCCGGGCGGCACGCGATGGATGCGCCAGGCGCGCCTGCCGCCCTCCTCCAGGGCACTTCGTTCCCCTGACTTACTTTGATTCACTTTATGGAGTGATCTCCCCTCCCTCTCCCTCCCTCCCCTCCCTTCCGCCCGGGGTCCGTCCGCCTCCTTTCACCGCCCTCTTCCGCCCCTTCTGCCCCTTCCGCCCCTCCCTTCACCCATTCCGCAGTTTGTGCTGTCCGACATCATTGCCGGCAACTACCTGCGCCACCCGTACATCCGCTTCACCATGTGGACCGCTCCCGAGCTGGACCCGGGTGAGCTTGCCTGAGAGGGCTCACAGTCCTTATGTTTAGGAGCAGGAGCACGCTTGCATCACACACTGAGCGTCAGCAAGGGGCAGCCCCCTCCCCCTCCTGTGCTCCCAGTGCACCAGCAGCAGCAGCAGCAGCAGCAGCAGCAGCAGCAGCAGCAGCAGCAGCAGCAGCAGCAGGCAGAGCTTGTTGTTTTTTGGTTTGTTGTTGTTGTTGCAAACCGCTTGGTTTGCCACGACTCTGAGGTGTCAGTTGTATCGGCGTGCCTGGCTTCGGCTTGCCCCCGGTTGGACGCAAGCCCGCCCTTCCTTCTCTGATGATCCCTGCCTCGCTGTCCATCTCACTTTCCTTCCTTCCTGTTCCTTCCTTCCACCCTTCCCCGGTCCCTCCACCTGACGAAGATGTGGAGTCTGGCGTGCGGTACCATGAGCCGGGGGTGGTACTGCGCTACCCTCCCGAGTGGCAAGAGCTGACCCAGGCATCCGAGTCTAAAGTGCTGGGGTTCAACCTCACCATACCGGTGGGCCCTGGGGCGGCAGGGGCTTGCCGCGCAACGGGCGTGACGCGCAGACGCATGCTGGGCGCGACATGCGCATGTGGCAGGCTCGCTCTCTGCGGGCAGCCAGCGCCAGTGTTGCATACGGCTGCCTGTTCTGCTGCTGCTGTTCCTGACGCACTGCCTGCTGATGGTTCTTCCTTGCCTGCAGTACCTCAACGGCACGTGGAATGAGAGCATCGCCGGCAAGCGCTTCCCGCCCCGCCTCAACTACTCAGAGGCTTTCATCAAGGTGACCAACCGGGCTGCTTTGGTGGGATGTGTGCCACCTGTGCGCGTGTGTGCATAGAGTTCGATGGGGCTGCGGGCAGCTTGCGACTGGCAATGGTGCAACTGGAGGCAATGAGTTTCTCCGGCGCGGCCGGCCTGGCCGAGCTCGGACTGCTGGTCCCGCTGTACTGCCCTGCCTCGTACCCCCTCGGTGCTGCCATGTGTGCTGTGAGGAGCCAGCTGGCCTTCGCAGGCAGCGCCTGACGCCGTCCCCTCTTTTATCCCTTCGCATTTCACTACTTTCCTCTGTTTGCTTCATTTGCCCGAAGATGTTGGAGGAGGAGAGCGGCGGGGTCAAGTATGCAGACTGGGAGGGGTCGCCCCCCGAGGGCTATGTCGTCCCGCAGAACGAGACTTTCATCTTCACCCCAGAGTGAGCTGAGCGCCTGGCAGGGCCTGGCGGGGCCCGGCACTGCACCATCCCTGATGGTACTATAAACATACGAGGGTATCCCCTCCGGGTGTGGCGCTGTGACGGAGGCTGAGCTGCTTCTCTGGCCCCACCCTCACCCTGCTGCAGGTGGCTGCTGGCGGTGAGTGGATGGCCGCGCTCCTGAGCAGACAGCCATTGTGGCCGGCGGCGCGTTGGTGCACCGTGATTGCCGGCGGCTAGCTTGTTCCCTGCTTTCGCCGCCCAGCTGTTTCTGCATGCGCTTTGCCTGCGCCTGACCTGCCCTCCTGTGCCGCCCGCAGGCGTGGCTGGGGCGGGGCGTGAACGGCTGGTGGGATCTGCCGCCGCCTAAGCCTCAAGTCATGGTGAGCTGCGCCGGAGCAGGGCCCGGGCGGGTAGCATGGGTCCCTCCTTTTACTCCTTCCTCTCGTCATTGCTTTGTATGTTGTATGCGTCCTGCCCTGCGCATGCTGCAGCTGCACGCGCTGTTCATCCCTGGCGAGGTGCACCCTCCCTGGAAGAAAGAATACATCCTGAAGGCCAGCGGCGCCTTCAACTTTGAGGTTTCGAAGGTGGGGCGCTGACGGCGCGCTGACTTGGCAGGCGGCACTGAGCTGTGCCCCACGCCGGCGCTGAGGCGGCGCTGAGCCCCACGCCGGCGCATGATGCCATACTGCGCCACCTGTGCTGTCTGCTGCGTTGAATGTCAATCCCGCATGCCCATGACTGCCGCCGCTGCCTCGCTGGGATTGCTGGGTCCCCATCCCCCCTCCCTCCCTGCCCCAGGCCCTGCACGGCCAGCTGTTCCCGGCTGCCACGCCCGGGGCGCCGCTGCCGCGCGTGCTGGCCCTGCTGCCCGGCCTCAACCTGCCCAGTGAAACTGCGCTGGAGTATAGGTGCGGGCTGCTGTCTGGCAGTGACTTGTCCGGCAGTCCCAGACTAGCAGCAGGCAGCGCAGAGGAATTATCTCATCTTCTCTCTTTGCTGCCTGCCTGCCTGCCTGCCACCTGCCTGCCTGCCTGCCAACCTTTGCCTGCCTGCCTGCTTTTCCGCCTGCCGCAGGAACCAGCTGCTCCTGATGGTGCGGCTGGCTGCCCGGGTGGGGCGCGTGCTGCTGCTGCCAGAGCCCGTCTGCAACTCTCCCTGGGTGAGCCAGGAAGGGCGGGCTACGCCGGGGTGCTTTCTTCTGCTTTCCTCCTGCTGTGCTGGGATCTGTGAGTAATGCCCGGCACCAGATCCTGCCATGGGCCTGCTGCTTAGCTCAGCTATCCAGCCTGGCAATGCTGGCCCACCACCTCTCTCTCCCCATGATGACACTGCCGGGCCGTCTCCGCCACGCCGGATACAGAGCTGCACCGCCCGCATGCCCCTGCTGTGCTGGCTCCCCTGACGGCCCGCACCTGCTTCCCTGCCGTCCCACGTGCAGCTGGGGCCCGGCAACGAGAAGCCGAGGGTGCAGGGCCACCGCAAGAACGATTACAACATCGGCCTGGTGAGCTGCCTTCCTCCTTTCTGTGTCCTTCGGCGCTTTCGCTGTCTTTCTTTCCTGGTTAATTGAAATGCTTACTGTGGCTGGCGTCTCTGCTGGGTCATGACCGACACACCACTCCCCATGATCGAGCTCTGTTATTTTGCCTCCCGCACTCATACCGCCTGCCCATCTTGACCCTCTTTGCTGCTGCCGCCGCCGCAGCTGCTCACGTATGGGCTAGATGATGACCAGCACTGCATCTGGTGGCACGTCCTCGACTTTGGATGCATGCCGGGAAGGTGCGCTTCGCACAACACGGAATCGGCCAGCAGGGACGGCCTTTTGTCGTGTCGGGAGGGCTCAGCTCAAGGGAAGCAACCGACTTTTTTTCCTTTCAAACGCATGTTTCCCGCAGGTACATCCTGCACCCAGACTATAGGGAGCTGGTGCGGCGCCTGCCAGAGGGCGCCGGCCAGCCCAGTGGCGACAACACGGTGCAGCTGGGGGGGCTGGAGCGGGCACAGGGGCAGGAGCAGGTGGAGGTGGAGGCGGCAGAGACCAAGGCGGAGGAAGGAGGCGGCGAGAAGCAGGCGCAGGAGGGGAGCCCAGCGGGCGCCCCGAAGCGCCGAAACCGCAGGCTTGCAGAGGACAGCGCCCCCAAGGATCAGCAGCAGCAGCAGCAGCAGCAGCAGCAGCCCAAGGGCCCTAGCCTGGCGGCGACGGCGGAGGCGGCCAAGCAGAAGGATGGCCCGCACATCCTCTTCCTGGATGCCATCCCTGACCTCACGCCCGGCTCGTGGCCGGAGGAGGGCGAAGCAGACAAGGGGTGGAAGGACTGGGTTCAGCAGTGCAACTGGGCTCGGGAGGATCCTCCAAAGCAGGACCGCCGCCGGCGGCTGGCCGAGCGGGAGCGGCACCAGCAAGGGGCGGCGCGACTGCGGCAGCAGCGGGACCAGGCGATGTGGCAAGCTGGCCAGCGGCATGTGGAAAGCGAGCGGAGCGACCTTTAGCTCTCTGTTTTGATCGGTGTGCGCCGAACGACGACTCCCCCTGCTTGCTCACTCGCTATTGCCCCAGCCTGCCCTTGCCTTGCTCTCAGACCAGATTCCTGCCATTCTGTGAGATCCATGCCCATCATGTATCAAACAACAACGGCATTCACACGGCATTGTTCTTACGGGGGGGTGCTGCGGCGACGGCCGCAAAGAGCACTGCTGTGGCACAGCAGGTTTCCATGCTCCTCCCCGCCGGCATCAGCTGGGCATCAGCTCGTGTGTAATTTACAGCTCTTGAAAGCGGGTCTACTTGCGACCACTCTTTTTGTGCTTTGACATCAGGAAGCGGCTCCGGAGCGCTGAGGTGGACTCCGTCCACTCACCGCGTCTGTGCCGAAAGGCCAGGAATGGTTGATTTCTCATTCTCAGACCCAGCCTCGGGCAAGCTACTTTGCGGTGGCGACTCCCACTCCCTGCCCCGCGTTGCCCTGTGCCCTTCGGCTCCCCCCGGGTCTGGCTTGTTCGCTCGACAGTACGAGTCTAGAGAGCTCTGGTGTCTGCAAGCGAATGACAGCGCATTCAGAGGCCAGCAGCAGGGTGGGCGCCCATCTGCTCCGCCATGGCGTGACCGCCGAGGTGCGGGCGGCGGCGGCGGCGTGGCTGGGCTCCGACGCGGGCCTGGCAGGGCGCGCCATCTGCCAGCTGAGGTGCGCCCTGCTGCCACGGGACGCGCCTGTGAAAGAGGCATGTGGCTGCTGCCTGCAGCGTGGAATGGGTGGGCGGCTGCTGCTGCCTCCACCCATGTGTCCACTCGTGTGTGTGCCTTCCACCTGCTGCCACGGCTGCAGGAAGAAAGAGCTTCAGGAGATGTTTCAGCGCGTGTATGGTGCCACTACCTCCAGCTGCAACAACGGTGGGAGCACTGCTGCAGCCAGGGCCGGGGGAGGGCGCGCCGGGCTGCCTGTTAGCCGCATGTGCCGCCGTTGCCTGCGGCAGCAGCCTCCACGAGTGCGGCCACTCACCCAAAGCCAATCCTGCTGCCTGCAGACTGGCTGAGGGGCAAGCTGCTGCAAGGTAAATTTGCAGCCTGGTTCGGCTGTATGCTGAATCATGCGGGCATGTGTGGCTCATGAACTGCATGCTGGCCAGCAGGAGACCTCCGAGGTGAGTGAGTCACTCAAACCCGCCCCCTGTCCCCCCTGCGCCTCCTCTCTTGCCAAACCCTGCAGCTGTGGGCCTGCCTGCCCGCTGGCGGCAAGAGGTAGAAGACCACACTGTGGAGGATGGGGCTGAAAAGCAGCAGAGCAGCGGCGGCGGCGGCGCTGCGGCCCAGCAGCGCAGTCGCTCCCCAGGCATGCGCCTCCGCCAGACGCCGGCCCGCCAGCGCCAGCGGGGCAGCGGTGGCAGCAGCGGCAGGGCCTCCACGGCCACTCAGGAATCAGGCCATCCGGGGTACCACAGGGGTGCTTTGGCTGCAGGTGCAGCGCCCCCTGCAGATGCAGAGCGCGGCCGCAAGCGGGGGCGCGACGAGGAGGCGGCGCCAGGGGCAGCGGGGCCGCGTTTCGGCGGCGGCAGAGCAGCGGAGGCGCCCCCACCGCCGGTGGTGGTGCTAGTGATGCAGCCTGGAGCCCAGCTGCCGCCGTGGGCCGCCACGGCCTTCAACGGCGGCGCCCTGATGGCGCCCAGCCACGACCAGCTGCCGGCGGCAGCAAACAGCTGGCTGGCCGCCACGCAGCTGACGGCGTTTGGGCTGCCCTACGACCCAGTCGCTGCCTCCACGCCGCTGCCGCAGCAGCAGGTTGTGGTTTTGCGGCAGCAGCAGCAGGAGCAGGGCCCGTATGCAGATGTGCTGGGCGGCGGCAGCAGCAGCGCAGAGCAGGCTATCGCGGCTGCCCTGCAGGCCCTAGGCTGCCTGCCAGCAGGCGACCCTGCCTGGCCCCAGCAGCAGCAGCAGCAGCAGCAGCACTTTCCCCCCGCGCCCGCCACCCTCCCCACCTTCCCCTTGCTGGCTGTGCCGCGGCCGCATGGCACACTGATCAGCGCTGTCCCCGCCCCCAGCCACAGCCACCACACTCACCTGCAGGCGATGCCTGGCCTCGGCGGGGGCCAGCCGGTGGCAGCGCTGCTGCCCCACGCTGCCACCGCGGCAGCAGCGGCACAGCAGCGCGCTGCTGAGAGGGCATGGACGGCTGCCGGAGGCCCGGCAGTGGCGGAAGCGCCGCCGTCAGCATGTCTGGCTGAAGCTCGGCAGCAGCTGCCAGCGGTATCCCGCGCCCAACTGGTCTCCAACCCCTACCTACGCAGCACCGCAGCCAGCCCCTTCTTGGCGGACGCCTTCATCCCCCTGCCGCCCCCGGCCTGGCAGGCAGAGCAGCAGCCGCATCCGCAGCCGGAACCGGGGCGGGTGGTCGCAACGGCATTGGCTGGCGGGCAGGAGGCTGGGCCAGCGGCGGGCCGGCAGGCTTCGGTGGTTCTGGAGCCTGACTGGGAGGCGGAGCAGCCCGGGCCCGACCTGCTGGCTGGCATGTACTTGGACCAGCTGGGCTGGACTGCATCCCTTTCCAGCATCAGCGAAGACCTGCACACACTGTATGCAGACTGGCAGGAGGAGCAGGTGTCGCTGTCGCCCCCCGCGTGATTCGCCGCCACCGCGCAACTGGCATCAGTCCCATGCTTGTTTGACTTTAAATTTGATGCAATACTGGGCGGAACGTATTATAAGATGCGTTGTCATCAATATTGTGCTTTAACCGCCACTTTTCAACAACAAAGAAGGGCACAAGCGACACGTCCTGCCTTGCGAGGCTTGACCGCCGGCGGGGGCGTCTTACGCAGCTGAAGCGCTAGCAGTTGGGACGACGAGTTCGGCCACCGGCAGGTAGTGCTGGCATAGCCAAAGCTGCACAAAAGCCCCAGCACAAACTGCCAACACGGAAGGGAAGCCAAGCCAAAGTCGCTTGCCCCGCCCCGCCCCCGCCCGCCCTGCAGGCCGCCTGCCCCGGGGCGCGCAGTTCCCGCAGGAAAGCGTCAACCAGGGGGACCTGACCAGCCCAGCGCAGCAGCAGCCCAGGGCCACGCCTACCGCGCCACCGCCGCAGCCGCAGCGCCAGCCGGTCACCGGCAGCTGGGTGCGGCGGGTGGTGGCGGAAGTGAACGAAGCCGCCCCGCCGCTAGTGGTGGGGCGGCACACGCCATCCCATCGTGACGACGTGGCGGCGGCGCCGCTGCAGACGGCGCAGCGGCAGACGGCGCAGCAGCAGCAGGGCCAGCTGCAGCAGCAGAGCGGCGGTACGCGCAGCGGAGACGGCAGCGCGGTGCAGCACCCACCAGCCCGGCACCCGCTCGGACAACAGCAGCTGCAGCAGCCGCAGCAGCCCCAGCAATCCACAGCCCTCAGGATGTTCCACCTGGCGGCCAAGGGGGCGGCACAGGCACAGGGGCGCGCCAGCAGCCGGCACAGCGCTGCTGCTGCTGCTGCCGGGCAGCACCCCGCCCTCGCCCACCTGCCCGCGCCACGCGCAATGCCCCAGCCCGCAGCCACCGCGCCGGCGCAGCTGGGCCTTCGCCAGCACCAGCACGCGCTGCCGCTGCTGCTGCCCCTGCCGCAGCTACCGCAGCCGCCACGGGTGCAGGCGAGCGTGAACCAGGCGGGACCTCCTGGCGCCATGCCGCCGCCGCCGCCGCGGGCGCTGCGCTCGGCAGCCGGCGCCGCCGTGCTCTCCGCAGCTGGCCCCAGCTGGGACCGCCCCAGGCTGATGGCGGGCGCTGTGGACGCCGCCCGTGCTGCCATCTCCGGTGGTCGGCCCGAGACGGTGCTGCCGCTGCTGGTGCAGGCGGCGGCGCAGCGCGGGGCGGAGGAGGCGGGGCTGAGCCTGGAGCTGCTCTGCGCCCACCAAGCCAACTTTGAGGCCTTGAATCCCGTCGCCAGGGGCTCGCGGGTGGGTGGAGGGCAGGCCCAGGGCGGGCGCTGGTGGTGGTGCAGGGATGATGCTGTAATTGGGCGAGCTGCAGCGGTGCAGGAGGCTGGCTGTGCGGGTCGCTAGCCCGCCTGGGCGTGTGCTGCGCAGCATGCTAGCCGCAGCGGTGCAGGAGGCTGGCTGTGCATCGCCAGCTGGCCCAACGCGCCACCTCACCCGGCCAGCACCCACACCCGGCGCCGTCTGCCGCGCGCCCCTGCCGCCGCACGCCTGCAGGCTGTGTCCCTGCTGGAGCTGCTGCGCAGTGCCCCGTTTTCCCTGCTGGCGCGTTTCCTGAAGAACATGTGCAAGAGCTACGGGGTGCGCGTGGCGGCGGTGGCGACGGCGCACTCGAGCGGCGGTGCACCGGCCTGAGCGGCCCGCAACTTTCGGCGGCTGCGTCCCCGACGCATGTGCATGCAGCCCGGCAGTCGGCAGGGGTGCAGGGAGGAGCTGAGCAGGGGCGCCCCGTCGCCTCCTACCCCTGCCGGCACCTTCACCAATGAATACATGACCAATGAATGACCCCCTTTCGTGAATGCAATGCACATTCTTATTCTCGGATGACCATACTTATTTTGCAATGCCATGTCCTGTCCCATGCAAATTTGTTCTCTGCTGCTGCTGCTGCTGCTGATCACGGTAGGGGGCGGTGGTCAGGAAACAGCGCAGTTACTGCAAACATATGAAGGTTACAATCCTCCTCCGTGTTTGATCGATTCGAGGCTGTCCCTACTTTACCCCATGATCCAGACCACCAGTGAGGCCATCCCGGCTTCAAAGGGGCTCCTGCGTGTTGGGCGGCGGCGGCTTCGGCGGCGGCGGCGATGGCCAGCCCAAGTGGTAGTGTGGTCGTCAGACGCCAACGTGGCCCAGGCTGCTCACGATCTCATGCGCTCCCAGGAAGGTTAATGCAGCTGCTTTAACCGATGCTGCACCTGCTACTGCTGGCGCTAAGCCTGCTGGCGGCGCAGCGCACCTCGGGCGCCTCGGACCCCGCTCCCCTGGGCCTCCAAGAGGTCTTCACAACGACCGATCCCAACGATGAGCAGCGGCAGGTGGTTCTGGTGCCTAATGTGGCTTTCGCGGGCCCCATCCTCCGAGACGTCCCCGCCTCCTCGCCCGAGTCGTGCGCTGCTGCGTGCCGGGAGCTGTCCGACTGCGCCTTTTTCAACTACTGCACCCATTCGGTGAGCCGCGGGCCGGGCCGAGGTTTCGGCCGCTGTCCGCCGCCGCCGCACCCGCCGACGGCAGCGCTGCCTGCTTGCCCGCAGGACGGCTGCGCCACGCACGCCAACGTGAGCCTGCCCTGCCAGCTGCTGAGCGGCACGTGCGTGCTGGAGCCGCCTGTGGCGGCAAGGGCCCCAGACATTGGCACCTGGGCGGGTGAGTCAGCGGCGGCGGCAGCCGCAAGGGCGGCTGGCGGCTGTCCCGCCGGCCGCCACGCGTGCCCCCACAGCCTTGCCCACCACCCAGCTGCCCTCGTCCCCACCTCGTCACGCCCCCAGACCCCCCACACAAGGTTTCCTGGGCGCATATGTTGTGCTGGCGATAGCTGTTTTGCACCACGCGCGCGCACACGCGCACAGTGCCCTGCCACACAGCAACATCATGCACCCAACCCGCACCACGGCCGCCACCCGCGCCCAACAGCACCGGGCAGCCACGTGTGGCACCATGTGGCGCCATGTAGTGCCTGTACAGGCATGGACCCACTCAGCACCACAGGCACGCCCATACTCGCACCAGCTGCCCACCCTGCGCCCCCGCAGGCTTCCCGGTGCGCGAGCCGCCGCTGGGCTACGCCCGAGTGCCCGGCTTCTCGGTCTCACCCGCCCAGGTAGGTGTGTGTGTGCGCTGGTGTGTGTGTGTGTGTGTATGAGCGTGTGCGTGTGGTGTGCCGCACACTACATGCACAGCGATGATGTCAGGGCGGCACAGGCGCCTCTGCTGGCGCCCTTGCCGCTGTCATGCCTGCCAGGGCAGTGCCCGCCGGCCCCGCCCGCCAGCCGAGCTGCGGCAGGCACGGCATGCTGCCCGCCCGCGCTCCCCCACCCGCGCTTCCCCGAACACCCCACCCCACCCGCTGCATGACTTTCGGTTTGGTTGAAAGGTTCTTCCGGGGCCTGGTGGCCGGCGCCTCCCCCCTGCCCCCCTGCGGCGGGTGACACCTGCAGGGCCTCTCCGGCGGAGACTTCCCCTGCGCCGGCTCGCAGCTGCCCAGCGGCTGCGCCTTCTCCCGGCCCGTGGACGCCGCCGACGTGTGCCACTCCCAGCCCACCTGCGTGGCGGTGGTGGTCTACGCCCAGGGTGGGTTGAGAGAGAGAGAGAGAGAGATTG